CAACAAAATGAAAGTTGGGATTATTTTTGATGAATTTTTGTTTTTTAATTTTTTTTGAAATTTTTATTTAAATTTTTTGAATTACTTTCAACCTCCATTTCTTTTTCTTTTTTAAAGATTATTCTTACCTTAGAAAAAAATAGATATAAAAAATAATGAAAATGAGAAAAATAACTAAAACCATACAAAATTAATCAAATAAATAATGTAATCAATAGAAATTAAACAGAAACTGGTAAGAAATAAAATAAATATATACGGAGTGGTGGGTTTTAACATTTTACACACTATACGAAGTCTTAATGTACTACTTATTTTTTAAAAGAACAAGCCGTCCGGTAAAGTTGGAATTATTGTAGATAATTTTTTCTAAAAAATAAGAAGTGATATGTTAATACTTTGTATAATGCGTAAAATATTAAAACCCACCCGTATATTTTTATTTTACTTTTACCAATTTCAAGTTAGTTTCCATTGATTACCTTATTTATTTTATTATTTTTGTATCATTTTAGTTACATTTTTCATTTTTTTCATTTTTTATATCTATTATTTTTATTTTTTAAACTAAGACTAATCTTTAAAAAAGGAAAAAGAAATGATGATGGAGGTAGAAAGTAATTTAAAAAATTTAAATGAAAAAAATAAAAAAAAATTAAAAAAAACAAAAATTCATCAAAAATAATCCCAACTTTCATTTTGTTGCCTAAAACGGGCATTTCCGTTAACTCTCCGTTAGAAACTTAACGGTGACCCAAAAATGGCCAATTTCAGTAAAGTTGGGATTATTATGCATCACAGTGAAAGATTGGATTATTTTTGAAAGACTGGGTAAAGTTGGGATTATTTTGGGTAATTTTTCCTTTAAAAATCTACGAAGTACATATATAATTACTTTTTACAGAGTGGGTATAAACTAAGTATAGTAGTTCAATTCAAGGAATTGAAACTTGTTACTTCCTCTGTTCCAGTGTATTTGTCCAGTTTGACTTTTTCGAGTCAAATTGGACAAATTTTGAGCTTCAATTAAATAAAAACCGTAATATATTTCAACATAAAAATGACTTTATTAGACTTATCGTATTGAAAACTTTCAAATTTGTATTTCATTATGCTAATATGCAATATAAATTGAGAGTAATTGGAATTCAAAGTTTGTCCAGATTAATTAGAAAAAAATCAAATTGGACAAATACATTGGACAGAGGTGGTATAAAATCACTACTATGGAGTACGTATACGTAGTACGGAGTAGTATATATTTATATACACAGTATAAATGGAGAAATTCACATGCACCCCCCTAACCGCTAATATATATACAGTAATAATCTATTTTAATGTTACTATGATTTCACCTTAGGAGAATGATTATTGCCAAGTCTTAGCTCCAGATCCAATTCCTCCATGATCATCCCATCCGGCTGCTGCAGAGAATGAATACGACGACCAACACGATGGCATAGTAATCCATCAACCAAACACGCCTTTTCATTTCCAGCTGCAGCTGGTTTCTTAATACAACCAAACATCATCAGATCATTAGTATCATTGGTCTTCATCATCACCATCGACGACTCTTCCACCACATTCCCCAGACAACTCTTCTTCTTCTTCCTCTTCTTCTCGCCGATTTCATCGTCGTCATCGGAGAGAGGAGACCGATGAGACGATGACTGGTGCTTCAGTCTGGCTCGCTCTCTCCTGTGCACGTTCATGTGCCCGCCCAGAGCTTGGGCGGACATGAACTCTCTGGCACAGAAGCTGCAGGAGTAAGATCTCGGAGGCCAAACGCACCCTCCGAGATCTTGCTGTTGGTCCTCCCACGAGTCGAGCTTTCGTTTGTCGTCGCTCCGCCTCGTTGTGGTTGTCGGCGTCCAATTAATTTGCTCCTTCATATGCAGTCGTGTAGATATGGAAGAAGCTAGGCTGGCTAGCTAGGATGCAGGCCAAAGATGGAGAAAGAATGAAATTAAAGATGCGTACCTAGCTAGGTACGCTAAAGTGAGTGCGTGAGAGGATACTATCAATGTATATACACCGAGTATATATCATATTTAAACATGAGTAAATTCTCAAAATAGTTCTTTGTAATAAGTGATTTTTCCAAATTAGTCCTCAATAAGTTTTAATTACCTACATGGTCCTCTATAATTAAGATTTGTTCCCAAAATAGTCCTTTGTAATAAGGTGTTTTCCCAAATCAGTCCTCAATAAGTTTTAATTACCTATGTAGTCCTCTATAATTGAGATTTATTCCAAAGATTGTCCTTCGTAAATAATGTTACTCAAATGAGGATTAATTGAGGGTATTTTTTATTCGCTAAATTTAGAATTAATTCTTAAAATAATCATTTATAATGAAGTATTTTTTCCAAAATGGTTTTTCTAATTAAAGATATGTATTTGATTTGAAATTTAATTTTTTTTTAAGTTTTAAATAATTCATAAATTATTGATGAGTAAATTCTCAAAATGGTCCTTTATAATAAATAAGGTGTTTTCCCAAATCAGTCCTCAATAACTTTTAATCACTTATATGGTTCTCTATAATTGATATTTATTCTCAATATGGTCCTTTATAAATAATGTTACTCAAATGATGATTTATTGGGAGATATTTTGGTATTTTGATCATCCAAATTTAAATTATATTCTCGAAACAATCATTTCTGTACAACTAAATGTTAAATTTAAAAAATACATTGATTATAAAGAATTTAAGAATTATTTAAAACTTAAAAAAATCTTTTAAATTTCAAATCAAATACACATCTCTAATTAGAAAAATCATTTTGGAAAAGCACTTCACTATAAATGATTATTTTAAGAATTAATTCTAAATTTAGAGGATAAAAAATACCCTCTATTAATCCTCATTTGAGTAACATTTTTTACGAAAGACCATCTTGGGAATAAATCTCAATTATAGAGGACCACATAGGTAATTAAAACTTATTGAGGACTGATTTGGAAAAACACCTTATTATAAAGGACTATTTTGGGAATAAACCTCAATTATAGAGGACCATGTAGGTAATTAAAACTTATTGAGGACTAATTTGGGAAAACCCCTTATTACAAAGGACTATTTTGGGAATTTACTCTTTAAACATAAACAAATTGTTTTGTGGTTTTTATGTTCATGATCACTTTATATAATACGGAGTGATGGGTATATCCTTATACCCGACCCGGATAACCGAAAGGGACAGATCAAAACATGACCGGTCACTTTTATCAAGTCACCAAATGATGTTAACTCTTCGATTGGGACGGGTCAAAAATTGACCGGTCACTTCCACTAAAAAAGTGACCGGTCACATTTTGGGCGATAGCCATTTCGCCACTTAATATTGCGAAGGATATTCCAGAGGACCAAAGAGATGGGTTGAACTCAAGAAATGACCGGGTAACCTTTGGGGAAAGGTGACCGGTCATGTTGCGCTACTTGAGAAGGGCAATCAATATCAGAGGCTAGAGGACACCCCGCCGCTCATCCATCACGAGGCAAACAGTGAAGAGAATGATTGGCGTTTTGCAGGATTGATTGGATTGAGAATATCCATGTTAGTCTTTGATTGAACAGTGCATGTATTGGCTTGTAGTTGCTATATTCATTGATTGAATAGTAAATTGATTATGTACAGTGACCTTCCTCCGGGTTTCCCATTTTGTCCATGGATGAACAGGGGAAGGTCACAAATCCTCCTCTATAAATATGATGATATTGGATAGAGGAGGGGAGCCAATTCTTTCTCTCACTAAAAACTAGTACACTCTTGAGATAGAGTAAGAAATATATTTCGGATTGAGGATATTTACCCGGTCTAGGTCATAATTTGTGTTCTTGTTGCGTGTTTTATATTACGGGTCAAGTGTCCAGGTTGAACCCGGTCAACCCACCCATCTATATTTACACCATCACGGAGTATCAATATATACTCCCTCCGTCCCTAAATAAATTTCTTCTTTCATTTTTAGGGGCGGAGGAAGTATTACATTAAATATTCATCTCCCGACCTAAAATACTCATCAATATGAGAAGATCTACATTTGGCATACGTATCTTAGGACAACAATAGCACAACTCATTTGTACACTTTTAGCTTTCTCCGAAAAAATTATATTCATGATTTCACAGGGTTTAAAGAATGTCAAAAAATCTAACGAAAATAGACAAAGATATTGTGAATTGAGTACTTTATTCATCATATGTCGGGGTATTTATACCTACACGGGGAGGAAGTAAAGTTTAGGTAAACAAGGTAACCAGATATTCTAAATAATAAGAGTAATAAACTTGTCATATGTATTAGAGTGACAAATTTAAAGTTTATAGCTCTGTACGTTTAATCACCTCGAGTTTAAAGTACGAAGTAATACATACGGAGTAATTACCTAATCGATTCTACAGACCCTATGAATGAGATGATCCTACATCTTTTTTTTTTTTAGTTTTATACATACAGTACTAATATATTTCCAATTTGTTGGGACTCCATCATCAACAGACAGATTGACAGACACTCTACAACTGGAAGATCTATTTTGAAATGGGGCTGTGTGTTTATTTGATTTTATTATTCGTATTTCTGCATCACTTGTGAATTAATGTTCTCTTCTTTCCTCAACTTATTTTTTCTATACTTACTACTTATTCTTATTAGAATCAGATCAAAAAGATTTTTAATAATAACTACAATCAGATGAGATCATAGCGAATCAGATAAGAAAAATATTGAAAAGATCAGATCAAATCACATGAACGGGAAACTAACTCAGGGGAAGAATATATATGCGACCGGCCGGCGTGCTTTTAATAAGTCTATTATAATATTTAATTTGTTGTTTGTATACAGTCTACTAGGACAATGATACATTTTATTTTATGAACGCTGGACAATGATACATAGTATTGCGGTGGTGCAAGAACTTTTTTTAATAAAGTGTCCACTTACTTAGAATCTCATTTTATGAAATACGGTGTACATTTAAATACTCCGTATCGAATGAATTTGTTATTCATTCATGGCCTGAAGAGGGTTTAGCCTCCTCCTTCACGCCCCATAGAGGCCCATTCATCATGACGGAGTTCCGTGAGGTGGGTATGGCTCCTTCTTGCGTGAAGGCCATTTCGTCGTTGCTGCGTCCCAACTTTTCCTTTTTTAAATTTCAACCAATCAAAATTCAACACACATTCACATTCACCATAACATATATTTTTCATCACTCCACATCATACATTTTTACACCCCGTCAAGTCCCCCATAACAGCATAACACATGGCCTTAGAGTATAGTATTTATTTATATTTTTATTTTATGTAATGGCCTAATTTATTTTATGAATTAGGGGATTAGAATTAAGATTAATAAGGGATTAGGATTGGGATTAGGGGGATTATGATTAAAATTGGGATTAGGAATAGGGGAATAGAATTAGAATTAGAATTACGATTTAGATTAGGGGATTAGAATTAGCATTAGACACATTAAATTGGTTGAAATGGGTCTTTTTCCACATTAACTTCTAAGCCTAACAACTTTTGTGAGAAGATTCTGAAATTAGACATAGACCTTGGGTGCACGGAATCACCACTCTTACTTAATTTTAGAGAACAAGAAAGTGGTGATGAACCACTAAAATTGGATTGATGGGATTTCAAGCAAAAAAAAGATTGAAGAAATATTACGGTACAATACTACGGAGTATAAATTATACTACAAGTAAAATTAAGGCTAAATTCCACGGTTGTTCTTTCAAGTTATTGCGTCATGCATGATTAGTTCTTCAACTTTGAAAAATTTACGAATTGTCTTTCAAGTCATGTTAGCGTTGCGTGATTAGTCCTTCAACTTTAAAAATTCCACGAATTGTCCCTCAAGTCACGATAGCGTACGTTACATGGTTCGTCCTTCCATTAATTTTGCCATTAATCCATACATTTTTTATACTCCGGAGTATTCACTTTAATTACATGTGAGGAATTCTTTTTTCTTCATATAATTGAACCAAATAATGTAGTTCCATTTTTAATAATAATAGTTACTATTACTTTAATTACTCCAATTTTTTTAAATAAAATAAGTTATTTTTACTTTTATTAGTTTAATTTTATAAAAAAATATCACTCCCCCTTAAAGTGTCAATAAAATTTTGACTTGTTACAGTCAACTAAGTACATTTTTTACCATAATTCAATTAAAATAAATTTACAAAAAGTATGACTCAATTATTTGAAAAAGAGAAGGTTTTTTACGTATATTTATAATGAAAAACGAAAAAATGCATGGAGTAACAACAAATTAACGGAAGGACTAACCACGCAAAACTAACGTGACTTGAATGATTTTTCGTGAAATTTTTAATGTTGAAGAACTAACGATGTAACAATAACATGATTTGAAGGACCATTCGTAGAATTTTCAAAGTTGAAAGACTAATCATGCCATAATAATTTAAAGAACCAACTATAGAGTTTAGCCAAATGCGAGTATTAAATAAAAACATTTTAACAATTTAGGCGGCAGATCAGATCCACTAAGATGTGTGGTGACAAGACTAAAGATTGTGGGAGAAAGAAGACAAAGATTAAATGTGTGACCATATAAAGGTTACACTATACCCCGGCCCGAATCTAGCTTATAATTAATTCCAGTCTCAGATTTAACAGTCGGCCAAAATATATGGCCATGGCACCGGCCTTCTTGGCTATACTAGCTGCGTCGAGAGGATAAGATAGAGAATGTGATACTCGATCATATTTTTGAATGGGTAGGGCCCTACTCAATATGAGCTTTTAGAGGAGGGGTTGTAAACTAGATAATGACTCCTAGCTAAATCACTTTCTTTGGAGTGAAAATTTTTTTCTATCTATGTTCTAGAACAAATCATTCAAACTCATCCGCCATTGAACATTCGAATGTTTAAGCACCAACATTCAAATGTTACCTGAAAGTTGGTTATTTTATCAACCAACGCATCCACTCAGAGATTTGCATATAAGCACGAGGCGCAGAGTATGTTTCCGGACTCAAAATTTCATACTCGTTCTAGATTACTTACGTTTATTACCGGATTGAAGTATTTTTGTTTTCTCCAAAATAACTTTAATCTAAAAGCGCTCATACGCGATTCACTAAGTCTATCAAGTTGTTCTTCTCGTTCTTCGTATATTAATCCTTTAACGCTGCTTTGCATCGTTCTTAATTATCTCGCCCTTTTCTCCAACACATATTTGTTTGATAAAACAAAACAGTACTCCAATATATGATAAAGAGTGTGAGCCTTTGAAATTAGTTAGATAATAGTGTAGAATTTTGAGAAATAATGTTCTGCTTATTTCATTTCATAACATCGAATATATACAAACACAAACGGGATCATAGGTCAAACTAAACGGGCCTATACACTTTATATGCTAATTACAAAATATACTCCAATACTCCTCTCTAGTTGGAGCATGAATGTCATAAATGTCAAGTTGGACAATAAAAACAAGAAAAGTGGACCAAGTAGTGCTTTTATGAATTGAAAATATCTGGATATTTTCTCACTCCGAGTCTTTCTCAATCATTAAATAATTATTTTTAATTGATTAATACTAATAAGCCCGAAAAATTAACTCTCCTTATTTATTTATTTATTAAAACAACTCATATCATGACATAACATTTGGATTATAAATTTCCAATTTACTATGCAATAGTTAATTATTTAAAATAAGTAATTCTAACATTAATAAACAATATTTATGCATTTAAAGATTATGGCTAACTACTAAGCCAGTTTCTAAGGCATTACACAAACTCGTTTGATGAGTTTTAGAGGGTTGATATAAGTGATATGATATGAGTTTTGAAATCTAAATTGAAAGAAACAATATTAATTTTAAAATATGAAATGAAAATATATGGAAAGATCTTAGTTAATGACGGTTAATTAGTGATAGAGAAAGGTGATTGGAGGTGAGCGTTGACAATGTAGGTGGTCGTGTGGGTAGTCGGGGATCAATTGATACCGAACCATATATCATTTTGAAATGTCTCAAATTTGAAAAATATCCTATGAAAACCTCTCATTTAAAAGAACTGTGATATCTAAGGGCCCGTTTGGTGAGGTTTATATTAGAGGTATGATATCTATTGGAATAATAGCATAGGGATAATATGTTTACTTGAAAATAATGGAGAATCCAAGAGATTGAAGAGAGTATATATAGAAAACAATCCTATCACAAGTAGGAATTAATCTAATAATAGAAACTGAGTAATAAACAAGCACTATACATAATTAGTAATAATATTATTATTGACTTATTGTCTAGCATTCCCCCTCAAACTAAACACCATGAAATGAGAGAAAGCTTGGAGACAAGGTCCCTAAACCTCCGTGAAACAAACACTTTCATTCCTTTTCTCATTTTGGTTCATTCTTTGCTTCTATATCTCTTTCCATGCTCTCTAACTCTAGAAGAAACACAAAAAAACTACAGCTTTCTAGTTTGTCAATCGTGCACCCGAGTTGCAAAAGTTAGTGGTTATGAGGTTTGGGTGGCGAAGTGCTTAGAAAGGAGGAAGCAGCACAGGTGAGGCCAGAGACTTGATGAGATCATGCATCTCTGAGATCGAGGAAGAAAGAGAGGGATATAATATAATGAAAGATGCATGTTTAATTGCAACGTGATTTTTTGGGATTTATATGGTAGAATTGTAGAATTTATCATGGGAGATTTGAATTTTTTCCTTGAATTTGTGAAGAACTAAATTGGGGGGAGGAAGAGGGTAGTGTGAGGCTCGACATACGGCTAATATAGCAAATTTTAGGTCACCAATAGCAGCAACTCTTATACCATGTTTGAATAATAAAATAATACGGAATATATAGATTTACTTAAGAATAATGGAGAATACAAGAGACTGAGAGAGAACATATAAGAAGCTATTCTATCACAAGTAAGAATCAATCCAATAATAGTAGCTAACTAATAAACAAACACTATCATAATTAATAATAATAATACACTACTAAAATATGTTGAATTAGTTGCGAATCTTAGCAAGGGGCACGTACCCCTCGAAAATTTGCGTCAGCTTGCTCGACACAAGTAACTTTTTTATTTTTAGGTCGGTCTAAGCGACACTATGATGTGTAGATATTTTGATAATTTTTTGTTTCAAGTTATTCTTTTTATTTTAAAAAAATTGTTTGTATCAATTAGACCGATAGAACATTGCTATTTAAAAAGCCCACTCATTTAAATTTTATTATTGTGGGTTTGGTCGATTTAAATTGAAAAGGGCATGGCCCGTTAATTTAAGAAGAAATCACCCTACATAGCACTTTAACTCACCCTAAATTACGCATTTAGCACTACTCATTGTTTTTAACAAACATAGCAATTTATGGTGTCAATCCTTTCCTATCATACCCTTTACCTCTTTTTCTGTTTTTTTTTCATTAAAAATTACGGCATTCAACTCCAATCTCTCCTTCCGTTCTCCCGCACGCTATTGAACTCCACGGTCTCTCCTTCCGTTCGCCGGCGATGATGCGTCCTTAGTTCTTCGCCCATGATTCCTTGGTCGATTAGCAGCGGCAATCATCAGCAGCGGCAATCTTTGATGTCGCTAATCATTTTCTCTTCTCCTTCAATTTTTAATTTTCATCCCTTCATCCTTTCATTTGGATTTCCCTGTATTTTTAGTATTAATTATTGTGTTTTCTTCAAATTGAAGATTAGGTGCATGTTGTGAAATCAATTTTGAAATACCAAGTATTTGTCCCTTTTGAAAAATTAGGTCTTTTGAAAGGCATTGTAATTTTGGCAGTGTGAAGATTATGTGTTATGGAGTGGGCAGTGTGAAGATTAAATGTCAAAATTTTGTCTTGCATCCTTTTATTTGGATTTCGCTGCATTTTTAGTTTTAATTATTGTGTTTTGTGGCAGTGTAAATATATTGTGACAGTGTATATATTGTGGCAGTGTATTTCAGGCATTGAATTTTTGGCAGTGTATATATTGTGGCAGTGTATTTCAGACATTGAAATTTTGGAAGTACATATTGTGGCAGTGTAGAGAGTATATACTGTAGTGTATAATTACCATAAAAAATAAAAGGTCACGGCTTAAAATGAATTTTGCTCTTTTTTTGACAGTGTTGTATGTATTAGGGCACTAAATTCAATCTCAAACATATTGTGGTAGTGAAGAGCAGAGAATTTCATACTTATTTATAATGTGGCAGTAAAGAGTATACATTGCAGTATAATTCTAATTTTGAGAGTTTATTTGAGGACAAAAACGGGAATTCATCCCAAAAACTAATAGCACTGCTATTTCGAGTATTATAAGGCTATTAAAGTGCTATTTTCGTATTTCTTCCTAATTTAAGCCTAAAGGGGAGCAATCCTAAGCCTAAAGGGGGAGCAATCCACTACTAAGTTTATACTGCCTCCGTCCTAAAACTTTTTTCCCACTCCCTCTTTTTCTCCGTCCTAAAACTACCTTCCCATTAGAAAAAAAAGATGACAAATGACATTAATACCCTCATGTATTTACACCAATTATCTTCTAACTATATATTTTGAATGATTGTAAAAAAAAATTCAAAAAATCTTTTTTAAAGAAGGTAAAATTTGAAGTCAAAGCCAAAAATTGAAAATGAGAAAATTCAAACTGGGTAGAAATTTTTAGGAGAGTATCTAAATTCCTGTTAATTAAAAAATTAGGAACGCAGAAGAGGACAGAGAAGCTGATCGGAGACCTTGGACAAGAAGCGACACCGGAAAACAACTTCTCCCACCACGCCGATCGGAGACCGGCAACCACAACCATGTTGTTCAGATACTTATAAACAGGTTCTACAGACTATACTCTTTTAGTTTATCAATTAGGTTAAATGAAATCTCTAATTTTTGAAGTGTATTTATATGATTAGATATTGATATTCAAGAAATTTGTATTCTATCATGTTTCAAGCCACTTTGAATTACCTTTTGGTGATTACATATGTTGGAAAATATTATACTTCATGTTATACTTAAAAATAGTTTAGTTTGTTATTATGCTCACCAAGTGTTTGACGAAATGCTAAACTTAATAGAATATGCAAAAGGATTTTCTAATTATACAGAATTTGAAACAACAAGATATGGGTTATACTAAATGAGTTGGTGAAAAAAAGTGTACTAAACACATGTAGGTTGTAGTTAGCTAAACACCTCTCAAGTCTCAATCACAATAATAAGAATTATCCAGTAGTACTAAAGATGAATCCAATTGACTCTTATTGGACTTTGCATCATTGTGTGTTTCTTCTCCTTTTGTTAAGTTATCCACTCCCCTAGTTCGCTTAATAATCTCCATGCATTCCTCTATTACATCCCTCATAACCTAACAGTTGGATATACCAAAAAAAGGATCTAATGAGAACAGAGAACGTTAGTGAGTTTTGGGATATTATTCTCATTAGAAAGTGTTTTTCCATCACACACTAGCTATTATCATTGCACTGTCAAAATAGGATGATAAAGATAAAAAGTACTGGCTATATAGGTTGCTAATGAAATGAGATGAAATCAACTTCTAGCTTTATTTTAGATATTATTTTCTTTATAATATAGGTTTATATATTTTTATTTAAAAATTTATCTACTAATCTTAATTAGAAATTCAACTTTATTGTACTTGTGCAAACAACCACTTATTTAATATAATGTAGAGCATGGATCGCAATTGGATGTATGATAGACTTTCTTCACCTAGAGGTGGGCTAAAAATTGAATTCATTAATGGAGTTCAAGACTTTGTTAGGAAGGCGAAAGAACTTCCTTCTACTTTATCTGATGGGGGGGATTAGATGTCCATGTATGAAGTGTAAATGCATGAAAATACTAAAAGAAAGTGATGTGAGACTTCATTTGTACAAGCATGGGTTCAAACCCGAGTACTATATTTGGACAAAACACAGTGAAGAAAAGCCAAATTTACACTCAATAGTTGAATGCAATGCTTCAGATGATTGGGATGGGGGAAATCAGATCGAAATGATTGATCATATGCTACAAGATAGATTTAGACAGGTAGGTGATGGGGCCAGACTAGATGATGGTGGGATTTCAAATGCAGAAGAATTGCCAAACTAAGGATATCAAAAGTTTTATGATATGTTGACATCTGCGAACCAGCCAATTTATGAAGGCTGTTTTGAAACACCTTTGTCTATTTCCTATGAAACTATTAGCAGCTAGGTCGAATTGGCATATTCCTGAAATATGTGTAGATAACTTTGCTCAAATACTACCATGCAGAAGTTTCACATACGAAGGATAAAATACCCAAAAATTGTTATGAAGCAACAATTTTAGATCCCTGGTATTCAACATCATCTTAATAACCTGTTTAGATCCATGCTTTATGTTTGTTTTAAATTTTTGGTTTAAAAAAGTAAGATCTGAAGTACTACATATGCAAATCTCCATGCAATTTGATGTACGATGCTATGTTCATTTGTTTATTGTGTAGGTTTTAATGAATTTAATAATAAGTCACAGTTTGTCAAAATCATTTCGTTATAACAAGTTCTTAATTAATATGATGTTGTCATCTAAAATGCAGGACTGATATACCTGGAATCCCACTCATACTAACACCATGAAAAAAAAATTGAAAGCAGAGGGGATGAAAGTGGCTCTCTAGTTTTCTTCGTCATGCAAGAGCTGCGAACAAAAAGCCATAGTGGTGTGGAGAGGCCGCTTGGAGTGACTTAAAAACGTATTGGTCTCTAGAAAATATAAAATAATATCTAATCAGAATTCGAAGAATCGAGGTTCCAGTAAAGGGAGAGCACTCCACACTACTGACCGCATCTCAGACCTCGATGTAATTGAGCAAATGGTATGATTAGCATTTACAAAATACTTCATTAAAATCTTTTATTCCATAGTATTGTTTCTAACTACCTATAATACGCTTTTGCTGGTTTTGTTTACTGATTTTCTTTAGAAAGGTTTTGTCTGATTTTGAGAGCATCCTTTAGTATGTTTTCAACATTAATAAGATGGCTTACAACCTTTATGATCTAATGGTTTATAAGCTTTATGATGTGTGTGTTTCTTTATTTTAAATAGTCATTGCTATTTTGTTTCTTTATTTTAAATACTCACTGTTTGTGTTTCTTTATTTTAAAGAGTAAAGAAAAACGTCCTGTTGATGTGATGTGGATGAGGCCTTTCTAGTCACTCGCCAGCATAAGGATGGATGGAGGGTCGATTCACGCTCCATGGAAACATACGTAAGTACTTATTTTTTCAGAATACATTATAACTATTAAACATTTAAATATGTTAACTTGTTATAATTTTTACCTATTTCTAATTCAAAGTACATGTCAAAAGAAAATAAAGAAGATAGCCGAAAGTGAAGATGGTTCTACAAGTGGCACAAGTGATATTAACAGTAGTAAGAAATTTGCAGTCTGGCAAGAGACAGTTGGAGGAAAGATCAAAAGAAAAGTGTATGGGATTGTTGATTTGTCATCAAATTTTACACGTGGAGGAGCAAAAGAAATTAGCATTCTGAAACTAAGTTATTTGGTTAACCTTTAAATCATGTTTTAATTAGTCATAAACGGGGATGGTAGACAGTGAGGGTGGTTGGAGACTTTGAGGTAGGGGTGGGCACGGTCTGTGACGGTCCGTGATACTATTAGAACGTATCACGGATCGCTCTTATTTTAACGGTCCGGTATCGATATGGTATGAACCCCAAAACCATTTGGTACTAATCTGTTTTGAAATAGAACGATACAATACCATACCTATGCTCAAACTGTGCCAAAAAATGAACATGCATCACTAAAAAATATTAAAATAAATGTGTAATTTTGTATAAAGAGCACAACTATGTTAAATAGAAGTATTGGTTTCAAATTTAAAAGGATCATAAATACAAATGATGAAAGATAACGAGTTAAAATTTTAAAAATAGAAATTTTTTCAATTAGTACAATATTAGACCATTAATAAATCTAAAAAATAATGGTAATAATAGTAATAAATATTATATCAACAATAATAATGAAAGAATTTTAAAAATGAAAAATACAATACGAATCACTTCATATAAGGTAAGATGAAGTAGACAAATAATTATTTGAGATACTTCATATATAGTTTTGAACGGTTCGATCCGTGATAATCGATTTTAAATATTTGTAACACGATCTCGTCTCGTTTGATGTCACGTTGTTTACAAAGCTAGATTGCTGATTGAAAAGGGGTGGAGACGAGAGTGAACTTTTTTTGTTAGGCTCTTTCATCTTGTTATGTTAAATTCGTCGGGCCTGTTTTGGACGATTTTTGGGCTTGTTGTTGGTTTGGATTGGTTTAACAAGTGGGTTGAGAATTTGTCATATTTTTCCGACGAAATTACCTAGATCTGAAATTAATTGTAGTGGATATTTTGTCTAGTCATTTGAGATGACAGAAGACGAGAAGTTCTGAATTGAGAAATTTGATGGTACAAATTTTAGTTGGTGGAAGATACAAATTGAAGATTTGCTTGTTCAGAGAGATTTAGACTTGATTTAGGGAGACAAGCCATAAAAGATGTCGAATGCAAATTGGGCATGTTTGGATCGAAAAGCTATGTCCGTGATCCGTCTCTCGCGGACTAAGAATGTTGTGTTTAACATTCTGAGGAGAGGATGACAAAGGGAATTATGGAAGCATTGTCTAACATGTACAAGAAGTTATCTGCATCGAACAAGGTTTTTCTAATTAGAGAGCTGTAAGTAAGTTACGCCGTTGTAAATTGTTTTACAAATAGTTCATATTTTTGAGTCATAAATTGTAACAAAATACTATATTAATTTTTATTAAAATAACGGCTAACTACTAAGCCGGTTTTCGGGTCGTTACAGGTAGTGGGAGCAGGTACATATGAAGGAGTGAGTCGAAGGCTCGAGATAGCTCAGGTGTAACGTGTTGGAAGTGAAAAGAGATGGACCATTTTAGGAATCAATGTTTGAAAGAGGATAAGCAAGTGAACATTGCTGAACACTCCGGAGTGATAAGGATTTGTGGGTCATGGATTCTAGTGTTTCATTTCATGCTATCCACAGCAGTGAAGCATTGCAGAATTAGCAGGTTATTGGGGACTTTGGAAAGGTATGACTAGCGGACGATGGAGCTCTTGATGTGACGGGCATGGTTCACATAGTGTTGCACACTCGAGTTAGTTTTGAACTTTGAAAGATATCAAAGTGGTTCCCGCCTGGAAGAAAAGTTCAATTTCTATCACGCAGTTGAACAAACAAGCGCAAGAGGTAAAGTTTGAAAGTAGGAAGTGTAAGGTCTTAAGTGAAAATCTTATAATGGCGCGCAGAAAGAAGATGGGTTTGTTGTATATGGTTGGATTACCATATGAGGGAGTGAACCTAATTAGGAGTTCAGAAGATAAACAAAGTCAAGTTCATAAGAGTCTCGTGAGCAGAAGAAGGTTGTCTTTGCGAGAGACAAACCCAGAGCCACAGGCTAGACTTAGGTTGGACGAGCAAGGAAAGGTTCAAGGAGACCAGTTAGAAGAGCTTGTGACAGTGGGAGCACGGACCGTGTTTCAGCCAAAGTTCTCTGATGACAATGGGTTGGGAGAACTAGTATTCCAATTGTCGAAACATTTCAGAAAATTTTCTTGATGAGTATGGAGAGTGTTTGTTCTCAGGCCGTTCCAAGATCCGACAGTGCAAGTTTGAAGCGGGAGCCACTAGGGATCACAAACGAGTCAAGGGTAGATTTAGCCGTGACTGATATAATATGTTGGAGCTCTAGATATTCTAATATGAGCAATTTACTTAGATAGCACTAAAATATCGCTAATACTAAGAGATATTAAAATCTATATCTCCTACACTCACCAAACCAATCCCATTGCAAACTCAGTATCGTGACTTTCGTCATCAAATACGAATTATGCCCCTGGTTATTCTATTCAATGGGGTTTGTTGACCCTGCCCAAAAAGCAGATATAAAACCGGAAAATGTTGAAACAGCCTTGTCCCAAGCACCACTATTCTCGTATACGCCCTCACCTATAGGAGTATACTCCGGACTGTACATAAATTAATTAAACATAATTAAACAGTACCTAGTCCTCTCATAAAGACACATCAATTAATTAATTCATCTTGACTAAAACGTAATCTCCAGATCCAGTCCCCACACACTTTCAGATTTCATATCACAAAGAAAATCAAGAAAGAAAGAAAGAAAGTGAGAAAAAAAAAAAGAATCTTGAAAGAAAGAATGCTTCAAGCCCATAATCGCCACCAATACTCCGACCTGCTAATAAAACCATGGAAGTACAACCGCTTCCACACCTTCAAAATGGCCGATGTTGTCTTCATCAATTTCGTCAAAGGCTTCGTCGGAATCTGCCTCGTCGTCTCCATCTCTCTGCTCTCCTTCCTCGTCTTCTCCGAGTGGCTCCGCGGTTTCGAAAACCCCCACGCTTTCGTCCGCACCGGCACAACCACAACAACCTCGGACTCGATCCGCTGCGGCGGCGGCGAGGACGACGACCGGACCCCGCCGGCGACCAACATCTCCCACGTCCTCTTCGGCATCGGCAGTTCCCTGGAAACGTGGAACAGCCGGCGCCATTACTGCGACGTCTGGTGGGACCCGAACGTGATGCGGGGGTTCGTGTGGCTCGACCGGCGTCCCCCGGAGAACAAGACGTGGCCGGAGCGGTCCCCGCCGTTCCGGGTCTCGCAGGACACGACCGGGTTCAAGTACACGTGCAGTTACGGGTCGAGGTCGGCGGTGCGGATCGCGAGGATCGTGAAGGAGAGCTTCGAGTTGGGGGCGGAGAACGTGCGGTGGTTCGTGATGGGGGACGACGACACGGTGTTCTTCCCGGAGAATCTGGTGGCGGTGCTGTCAAAGTACGACCACAGGGAGATGTATTACATCGGGGGGGTGTCGGAGAGCGTGGAGCAGGCGGAGGAACACTCGTACACCATGGCCTACGGCGGCGGGGGGTTCGCCATCAGCTACCCGCTGGCGGCAAAGCTGGTTAGGGTTTTGGACGGATGCATCGATCGGTATGCCGAATATTACGGCTCAGATCGTAAAATTGGTGCCTGTATCGCCGAGATTGGCGTTCCCCTCACCAAAGAACCCGGTTTTCACCAGGTCAGTCTTTATTTTTAATGTGGTTTTTTTTTATTTTTTTAAACCAATACCTCTATCAAAATGATTCTAATTATATTGTGACTCGAGTTCCTACCATACTCTATTCGTACAATGAATTAAGCTAGGGGTACACAACATGAGTACCCCAAATGTACACCAAACCAACACACACAGACACAAAGTGTCACAGACATTTGGTGTCTGTGTGTGTCTGTGTTGGCTTGGTGTACACTTGGGGTATCCCATGTTGGGGTACCCCTAGCATTGATTCTCTACCTCCCTAACTTTCTTAAACCCTACCCATGTCCCTTTCTGCTCACCCCACCATAGAACCCAATCAACGAAATGAGGAGGGTTAGGGGTGCTTGATGGAGTGAGTAGGTAGGTAGAAATTATTAATTTTACGGACATAGTATTATACCCATTATGGTTTTTATTTAATTAAAGTTTAAAGATTGTTCAATTTGACTCAAAAAGATCAAACTAGATAAATACACTGGGACGGAAGTAGTATTTAGTGTTTCAGTTAATGACTCATATATTTACATGGTTAAAAACCGTTCAGTTTGGAAGTTATTAAGCTTGAAACAATAAATGATATCCGATTGTTATGAATTTTGAGGGTTATTATCTTTCAATCCCGAGGTGGGTTTTACATTAACACTTTGCATATAAAAATTATGAGGAGTGTCAAACGTTGTAAAATAAAAGTGATGTTAAAATATCTTATCTCAAATTCTTATATACACTCTCCATACCAAACTTTTCTTTTTGTATGACTTCTCTTATCAACATTTTAAAAATACATTCTAAAAATCTCAAATTGGAAGAAAATTTTGGGACAAAATCAGTACTTAGGCATGGAGACACTACTATGTAACGTTTGATATATGGACCATGCTACACTTACACCAAAAATTGTACTCCATTTGTATACGACAGTTATACACAAACATTTTGATGGTTTACACCGACACAAGTGTTGGTGCGTTAAAAAATATTTACACGGACACAAAGTGTTGGTGCGTTAACAAAAATTAGTTTTACACCAACACAAAATGTTGGTGCAAACCTGCAGTGTACAAATGAGATACAAAAGCTTGGAGTACTAATAATAGATTTATCCTTGATATATATATCTTTTTTATGTGCGAAGATGGACATAAGGGACGACCCTTATGGGCTGCTGGCCGCACATTCGGTGGCGCCACTAGTATCGTTGCACCACCTGGGCCACATGTGGCCGATGTTTCCTGAAAAATCCCAAGAGGAATCTTTGAGGAAACTGGTGTCGGCCTACAAAGCCGACCCAAGTAGGACGCTACAACAAAGTTTCTGCTACGACACGAGGCGAAACTGGACCATTTCAGTTGCGTGGGGGTACACAGTCCAGCTGTACCCCGCGTTGGTGAGAGCCAAGGAGTTGGAGATGCCGTACGGGACGTTCTTGACCTGGAACACGTGGCAAGAGCGTCCCTTCACTTTTGACGTGCGGAGGATGAGCTCGGACTTGTGCGAGAAGCCATTGATTTTTTACTTGGACGACAAAGTCGGAAGCTTTGGAAGTCGCGGGAGCGTGACGACTTACAATAGGGCGAGAGAGGAGGACGGAAAAGAATGCGATAGCGAGGAGTATAAACCTGCATTGTCCGTTTCGGCTTTCAACGTCTCCGCTCAAGTCTTAAGTCCGGATATATGGAAAAAGGTATTACTACTACTTCAACTTCTCCCTCAATTCTTCTTTGATCATACATTGTTTCAATCTTGTGTGTGTTATCTTGTGACTCAATGGATTAACATCTACCTAAATCCTCTAGAGTTGCACATTTAGTCGCATATATAGGTTGCAATGGTTTTTGGAACAAGAGTTGAATTCTTATGGGAGAAATGCCAAATATGATTAAAATATGTTTTATGTATTATAAGACTAAGATTTATAATGTCAAAATACACTTTGAAATGCTAATACACAATATTAAATTGTGGAGCTTGCCTATACTAAAAACATATGGAGTATCTAAGGAGTTTGAGCGGGGGGTTTCATGGAAGAGTCTCTACTTTTGAATAGGGGTAAGATTGGTTCCTTCTCAGACCCTACTCTCGTGGGATTCTACTCGGTTGTTGTTGTTCTAGAAAAAAAAGACTAAAAGGAGTAAAACATATTGAAAGAACCATAATAGAACCTTTATATTTTTATTTTAAAATAAAACTATAATGTTAAGATATAATACTAAAAAACTAGTGTAGAATGCTAATATACAATAATGTCAAATTGTCTTAGTGCACTAGTCATGTTTTTGAAATAAAAAAATATCACTCCTATTTTAGAGATCAGAGATATGGTATGTTATGTTTTTGTATTGGATGATTTCTTAATTCAATTTCACTAAAATGAACTGATGCTCACCTTTAAGATCATTTGAAAAATCACTTTAAATAGGAGTATAACATAAACAAAGTATCAAAATAAAAACTTCATATTTTTATTCTCAAATTAGGGATTTGCACTGTGATAACGTGACACTGTATATGAACATTTCACAAATTTTTTTGGTAATGTTAATATGTTCTTGGTCGATTTAAATTGGATATGTATTTTAACCCCTATTTCGAAAATAAAAGGATGAAACTCCTATTTGGTTTTATTCCAATGATAACCTGATTTTTAATTGTTTCAATCCATTGATTTAAAATTACTGTTTTGTCTTGTTTTTTAAGAATCTGTGGCAAAATATAGTTCTCGGAGTTGTATATGGTTTTTTTCAAATCTCTCTGACTATTTGTCCCCAAAATTGTGAACTCCCCCGAAATAGAAGGAAGACAAAGAGGAGGAATCTTGACCTTTCAAAAAGTGTTGAACCAAAATTTCCTACTGGCATGAAATAGCTACCAACTTTTGAAATTTAAACCGGACTTGGACTATTTCACCATAACCTTCTGTCCATCTCCATCCCTAACTATTTGTTCATCTTTAATTTTCTACTATTATTCACTTTTAACTATTGATTTATAATTAAATAAAAATTACGGCATATAGGAGATATTACTTAGATAAATTAATATTCTAAAAATATTATATAAAATAGATTTAATAAAATTATTTTTGCATCAATAACTAATACTCCCTCCGTCCTTAAATAAACTTCCATTTTTGATTTTTTGAGGATTTAAGGAAGGGATATTTTTGTGTTGACTTTCCAAAAATACCCTTGATGTAATGTGTAAAAGTAAGATGTGATAGGTAGATAATTAGTAAAAAGGTATGATGTGATAGGTAGGGTATGAAAAAGTAAGAGGTAAAAGGGGTTTTTTAAGGAAAAAGCAAAGTTTATTTGGGGACAAAGAAAAAACGAAAAGGGAAGTTTATTTAAGGACGGAGGGAGTATAAGTTTATTTAATTAGTTGTTAGATTTTGTCAATTTTGACTTCAAATAGTTAAAATTAGACAAATATTGAAGGATAGAGATAATATCACTCAGCACCCTCTACTATCGATTTATAGTTTTGTCTCATAAAATATTTGTATTTTAGAAAAAAAAAAACGAAACTCAAAGGTTATGTAATTTTGGTGGTACTAAATACTACGGAGTAATCAATTTTGCCCTTAGTTTAATGTATGTCCCGTTTGGCATCAAGTTTAGAGGTTAGCATTTTGAAAAAGTTTTCTGACAGCAGCCTCTAGCGTTAGCATTTTTAGAATTAATCTACACCATTAAAATTTTATCCAAAATGCTAACATTAGTCGAAAACGATGTTCCCAAACAACACTAACATTAATCGAAAATAATGTTCCCGAACAAGGCCGTAGGGTGTGATATGATGTGATAATTAGATTAATATTGAATAAGCATGATTTTTAAATAGGTTAATAATTAGTAGGTGAAAGGAAACTTTTAATTGAAATTAAATTTTTAATCAAACAATTTTTTTTAACATTTTATTTGAAAGTAAGTTTTAAATACAATGGAATAATTTGTTTAAATAATTTTTACAAAATAAATATGATTGAATTAATTTTAATTGAAAAATAAACCAAATTGTAATTGAAATTAAGATTTTAGTCAAAATCCATTCCTTCTCATTTAACATTTTATACTCTTTGAACATGAATTGCTCATTCACTATTTACATAGTTAAGCATTAATTATTTTGTTTGCTTATTTTCACTATTCATTTAAAATATAAAATAGTTATGTCACTTCTTATTTTGTAGAGCTTTATATATAAATTTTAAATGTGTACGAAATAAAATTTATTTTTGAATTTACATTTATAATATAATCAATTGATGAATTGAAAGTAAATCTGGTCAGATCTCGTAAAGCAGAATGAGCAATTCAATGAGAAAAAGACTAAAGTAAAAGTAAAACATAAAAAATATACAAAAATAAGAGTTCCATGTATTTATTTCTAAAATAGGAGTTAAGATATATATGCAGTGTCACATTAACTTCTCATTAAAATAAGAAGAAAAATCTTCCTAGATAGGAGTAAAAAAATATAATATACAAAAACCGGAGTGCTAAATCTTTTAACACCAAAATAGAAGTATAATCGCAGTGTAGTGTAAGAGTACGCGTTGGCAATGAGATTGAAAAGTGATGACAGTGTAATATGTCAGTGTGATTAGTCAACTGTCGACGATCTGCTAGCACTCTGGTGGCTGGCCGCGGTGATGAATTACAGTGTGACAGTGATAGTGCAGTTACAATGTGGTGACAATTACAATGTAATAACGGTAATATAAACTCTTATTTTGGTTTTAAAAGACTTATGATTCTTATTTTGATACTTTCATAGTTTTTTATTCTTTTAAGGAGTTCTCCCAAATAAGAAATGAGATATCTTCTTGGGATAGAACTCTAATTCCAACTCAAGATGCATGACACTCAAGTTCAATTTTGGGTAAAGCAAACATGAGTGTAGAAAATATAAGAATAATTCTATATATTGAGTTGTCTTAGATATTACAAAAATTCAATTCTCTTTACATGGTGATGGGATAATATCCCTTGGGCCTAATTAAAGATACAAGGCCGGTCCATGCAAGGAGCCCGCTAGGGAACCTTAATCTCCTACCTTGACGCTATATAAGAGACACATAACCAAGAAGAAGAGGGGGGTCATCTTCTACATCCCCCCACATATTGTATTCACCCGTTCTTCTCTTTCTCGATGGAGCTTCGAGCTCCATCAATGGCTGTCACGCCGATATGTTGTACAAATATACCCCCGATATGTAATAAAATATCTCCGTTGGCATGGTACCGCCAAATAAAACTCGTGGTTTTTACCGATTTCGTTTCCACGTCAAAGTCTATTGTATATATTCTTGTTATAGACCAAAAAAATACACACGGGAGAGTTTTGGTCTATCAAATGGTACTTTCATTGAGAGGGAGAATCTATTCTCAAGAAAAACCTCTCAAACTTTTTCATTCCTCATATCACGAACCAAAGGATATTCTGTATGCATTTTTTTTCCTTTTGGTTTAAAACTAAAGGGGATTGCCTATTGAATTTGTTCCTGTAAAAACTCTGGAATGGAATTTGCCCCGTACGATTTAGGGTGATTTCTAGACTGATTGCGCCCCTACAGCCTTCAGATCATATGGTTCTCATGCTCGGCGGCCAGATCTTGATCGTCTGTAGCCAGATTTTGGAATTGGAGTTGGAGGTTCCATCTAAGTCACCCCGCAGCCGTTAGAGTAGCCATCGCCGTGCTGTTGTGAACAGGGATCGCTCCTCAGCGACTGCTATGCAGTGGTCGCCGTGAAGGGTAGCCTCCTCGGTCGCCGGCGGAAGATGAAATGGGTCAGAGGTGGACGGTCGCCGATGTAGAGGTACAGAGATGCGCCGTAAACGGCGGTAGTTTCGTTCAAGGACTGTGCTATTGTGGAATCAATTTCGCAAATAGCCTGTCTCTATTTGTGCATCGACAAACAGGGGATCATAGCGAGCTTCTGATCTGATGATGTTCCTCTTGGTAAATATGCCAAAAGACGTCGTGTGATCTGAAACTATGCTCCCCTTAGATATTCGAACCTCCGACAGTGGCAAACGAAATAAAAAGGGAAAGAGAAGAGCTCTTCGAGCGGCGTGCTCACAAGTGAGGAACTTGTTTGAGCAGCTTGCTCACGAAACAAAAAAAAAACCGAAGACGACTAAAGTGAGGCCCGCATCAAACTTTGCTTCATGAAATCTTCGGTCCATCAGAGTTTGACATTCAAACTTTCGAACTAAGGAGTCACGTCATAAGAAACTCAAACATTTGGGACGACGCCAAAAGCATACCTTGTGAAAATTACTACTGGAATGCTAAAATTGGCTAAGTCCTAAGAGTTTACACCTTAGGATGAGTGGGTGTATTCTCCTAAGTCATCAATGCAACAGACAAAATAATAGGCAAAGCCTATCTAAGCCCCCCAAAAGTAGCACCAATCAAACACGCACAAATACAACCTCCCCTTGAGATATTTACAAATATCCTCTCCTGAGATCGGCCCAAAACCACCTCACGAGGCTTCAATTAAGTCCTCGTCCTACGAGGCACAAAAGTCCTCTCCTGAGGTCATCCTTAAACCACCTCGCAAGGCAACCAAATCACTCATCATTTGAGGTTCTTAATTCCTCTCTCGAAGATGGTCTCGACCACTTTGAGGGGCAACTAAAGCCTCCCCTGAGCAACATGCGTCCTTCAATTAGATTACCTTAAAAGTCCTCTTTTTGAAACGCAACGAAGCCATCTCATGGACTTCGTAGTCGCTCGACGAGGCAAGTGTGGCGTTTCCAACTTTTTTAGGTACTAAAAGAAGAGAAGCTTAAGGGGTCAAGATTTGTGCCTACATTGGCAAAAGCTCCCAGGGATTCTATTGCAAGAGAGTACCGATTGAAGAAATTCACAGAGACGATAGCAAATTATAGTTTCTTAGTCAACACTTCGCGTTCCCTCAGAAACCGGGGGCTTGTGATGGAATAATATCCCTTTGGCCTAATTAAAGATACTCGGTCGATCCACGTAAGGAACCCACTAGGGAACCCTTACCCTAGGCTCCTACCTTGACGTTATATAAGAGATACATAACTAAGAAGAAGAATGGGGCCATCTTCTACATCCCCCACATATTCACCTGTTCGTCTTCTCCTTCTCGGTGGAGCTTCGAGCTCCATCAATGGCTGCCACGCTGATAAGTTGTACAAATATACCCATGCTATATAATAAAACATCCCCGTTGGCATGGTACTACTAAAAAAGGCCCGTGATTTTTACCGATTTGGTTTCCACGTCAAAGTTTATTGTATATATTTTGTATATTTTGTATATATATTTTGTATACTTTATACACATATCCTATAGACCAAAAAATACACACCCGGGGGGTTTTGGTCTATCACATGGGAAGAGGGTAAAGCAAATAAGTAATCTTTTATTCTTACCATAATTCTATTTTTTAAAAACAAGTTTAAACTAAAATAGGAAAACACCAAATTGAATCACTTTGAGATTCAATCCCTCTCTTGCGCCTCTTTCTATCGTAACACCCCCCTCAAGCTAGAGCACAAGGATTACGAGTGTCCAGCTTGGACAACACATAATCAAACGATTTTTGTTCAAGTGTCATCTCAAGACTTTAACAAATAACTTTTCTTATTCTTCAAGGAAGACGCCACTATTTTTGAATTTGTCGACTAATCAATCGAGTAAAGGAACATCATTCTTTTCGAACCTTCACCAAATTCAAACGAACATGATGAACGTCATTCTTTTCGAACATCCTGATGTCCATTTTTTTAAATTTTGCCTTGAAGAAATTGTCCGCATTCTGCAGAATAACCTTTGTTAGACGATTTCTTCATGAGTCATATTCTTCACTGAGAAGGACATCCATCTAAGGATGACGGGATCAACTTGCAGCCAAAGAGACCTTGAAAATTAGTGTGACACCTTTCACAAACCAATATGAATTTATTTCCGCTGCATGGTGATGGGCAAAAAGAGTATAGAATGCTAATGATTCTTGTGATTCAATATGGGTAGGGTTTAGGTTTGAGGTGTTGTGGATTTCGTGGTGGTAAGGAATTTAGATTGGAGGAAGAACAATGACCCGACAGGCGGCTAATGCTGGTGTCGCCCGCTAGGAGCGAAGGCAAAATATTTTAGGTCACTAAGGACTTGGCTCCGATACTATGTAGAAAATAATAATGGAGAATAATTCTATATTGAATTATCAGGTGAATACAGAGATCTAATCCTCTTTATATAAAAAGAGGGTAAAGAAATACTCCCTCCGTCCCAAAAAGTTTGTTACGTTTAGAAAAAACTGCGTCCCGTAAAGTCCGTTAAATTTCTATTAAAAAACCACTTTTACCCCTTACTTTTTCATACCCTACCTATCACATCATACCTTTTTTCTAATAATCTACCCATCACATCCTACTTTTACCCATCACATCAAGGGTATTTTTGGAAAATCAATACCAAAATATCTCTCCTTTAATTTCTCAAAAAGTCAAACCGTCCCATTCTTTTTGGGACGGAGGGAGTAATAAATTTTCTATTCCTACTAAAACAAGAATTAAACAAACTAGGAAATATACCAAACCGAATCCCAAAGGGATTAGGTGGTCTTCTTCAAATATCTCATGCCAACGACGACGACATGTGTTAGCATATTATAATCAACTCAAACGCTTCCTGAGCTTCCTCTTTCTACTCAAAATTCTAGTTTTTGATTAGGTCCTTGAGTGGAGCACTAATAGTACTAAAATCCTTCAAAAACCTTTGGTAGGACAAATGAAAGCTCTGAACTTGTGGAATAATGGTAGGTTTACGAAGAAGGGGAGGTGTACGGAGACAATGATCATTGTTTATGGCACCAATCTTCTTATCTACTGATCTTGATCGCAAGTCAATCATGAAGTTTAGTTTGGAAGCTGAGAAAAGAGCATAATATGAGATTCCAACTCTCCACAACAATGTTCCACAAAAGATTTAAGTGATGAACGAGCGTGTCAAGTCGAAAGTTAGCAGAGAAAGAAACTGTTTAGTTCAAATTCGATGATTTAGTTTAGATACATCTTTGCAAATAACGTTTTTTTACTAGTCACAAGTTCATGCTTCTTCCCCGAGCCGATGGTCCATTTGAAAGTTTATAGAATCTAAGGTTAATGACGATGCGTACAAGATTGAACTACTAAAAGATTATTAAGTTTCATCGATGTTTAATATCAATAACACTTGTGTGGTTTTTCATTTGCTTTTAGTTGAATTAATCGTTGTTGCATTCGTAGGCACCAAGGCGTCAATGCTGCGAGGTGGTCAACGACCGGAATGGAATAGATCATATATTGCAACTCAAACTTAGAGGATGCAATCGATGGGAATCATCAGTAACACCTCCATAGCGTGATTTGCACATTTCCACTTCCAAATTTTTGGTTCAATGATGGTTTTCGTGTTACACTACTTTAGATATTTATGGAGTATATAAAAACCATTATATATATCTCTGTGTGTGTATAAAATTTAAAGGTTCAAACTAAATGAAAATCTTACCTTACTTGAGAATAATGTTTTTATTTGATAATAGTTTTTTGAATAATTTCTAATTGCGTAGATTAACTTTTAAAATATTAAAGTTAAGTGTTGTCATCACTAATTAATTTTTCTTAAACATTAAAGCTAAATGTTGAACATTTTTTTTGTAAGTTTATAAAGTCATACGACTTTTTGATGAAAGGTTTAGAGGATGAAAATCGGTAAAATTGCCGGGTATATATTAGCGCATGTATTACTACGGAGCCAATCTCATTTTCCAAAATCTTCGGAGTTTATTTTAGTTTGTTCCAAACCAATGTGGCGAATTTTTCCATAAATACTGGAAAGTAAGTTTCTTATTTTACTCAGATTAAGGGAATGAACAAAATGATTTTTACTCCTTTAATCTTCATATTAAGCAAACTTTATACTCCTCTCTCTCTAAATGGATTAGAACAATGTATAAAAGTATGTACTTCCTTTGTTCTAATTTTGATTACAATTTTAGAATTACGAGGTAAAATTCTAATTTTTTAAAATTATTTTATTTAAAAATTGGTATAAAAATAAAAAAATAAAACTTGTATATTTAAAAATTACACCAAAAAATTTACAAAACAAGACGTGACAATAATATTTTATTTTATCAAATAATCGATGAAAGTACGTAATTAAACATAACTTAGTGAAAGGCGAGAGAAAAAATTGTAATCAATTGTGGGACGAATGTAGTATTTTTAAATCTATTTTGTTCACAAATTGATATTGAAATAAAAAAACGTATATATTTAAAAGTATATATAATTTTTACAAAATATGAGATAACGAAAATATTTTATTTTATGAAATGATCAATAAAAAACATGTACAAAATAAATAATAGAAAAAAATAACGGAAGGCCATAATACTAACATGGCAATGTATTTTTAGCTTTGCTAAAAAACACTTCTAGACCTTAATTTTGACTTATAAAGCCATAATTGATAAGCTAAAGCAGATAAGCAAACATTGAAAATTGTGTTTTAGTAAAGTAGAAGCTATAAGTTATTTTCAAATGCAATTCCAAACACCCTCGTAGTTAAGTCACACCAGCTTTGATCATCAACTAGAATAAAATTTGTTTTATAAATTAGTATAAAAATGATTTGATTTTATATATCTTAAAAAATTTAAAAATCATTTTATTTTATACTAATTTATAGAGTTAGGGTCCATTAGTTTAATTGGACATATGGGCCTAGTCACCAGGCCCGGGAGCTTGCGATGAGCTGAGGCACTGGATTAGGGATTTGATAACTTTATTAAAAACACAATTTTAAATGTTTGTCAATCTGCTTTAGCTTAAAAATTACTCCAGGTATGACTTTAGAAGTTAAAATTAAGGTCTAGAAGTGCTTTCTAGCAAAGCTAAAAATACGTGCTTTCAGCTTCTAAATTATGACTTCTAATTTTACATAACTCACCACACTCCCAAACACACTCTATATATATTTAGTATTCTACACAACTTAAATGTTGCATATATAATCTAAACATTCCTTTTATTTTTGTTTCTCTAAATGTAGAGTTATCTAAAAAAGATTCCACTAATGTATTTTGAGCAGATGAACCTTCTACCTTGACATTTAAATTTAAAATATATCGGATGTGTCCACCATATTAATTTATGCAGTATTGCTTACATTGTTTATAATATGTTATACATATAATTAGTTAATACACAAAGACACTTGTTGTATTATCACCTTCAAATAAATTAATAACATGTGTTATAGAAGATAAATCAATTCTCTTCTATCTCTTATGCACTAAAAAATGCAAAAAAGTGTGTGTATAATTGCTCCCTCATTGGAGCACTCTATAGATGACCTTTCGGGAAAAATGTAGTGGAAAAATTAAATATTTCATTTAGAATAATAAAAATATCATTTGTCACATCACAGAGTAAATTTTTTCTCAAACGTGTTCGGTGATGCGAGACTATAGCCGATGACGATCCCTCCTCTTCTGTATCTGTAATAACAATCATAAAATAAATATTGTAATTTTTATCTAAAAATTTTAAATTTAATTATTTATTATCAAATAATATTTGTTACATTTTTGTCAATGGTCGGATGGATAAATAAACAAGAATATTACTTATTTGCATTGTTTTGACATAGATGTCATATTTTTCAAGAATATTATTTATTATTAATTACACTTATAAAAATTAATATTATACCATAAATACTTTGATTAGGAATACCATTTAATTTTTTAGTTTTTTACACATAAATACTCCCGTACCAAGTTTTCATCATTTTATTAAGTTATTTATGGAAAATAGTAGTTTTTGTGGCACAAATTTATAAACTTTTACAAAGTTAGTAATGGAAAAGAATAGTTTTAAAATTAAAAACAATAATTTTAAAATGAAACATACTTGTTATTTGATTTAGACATTTTTAATGTATACGAAATAAAATCAATGCTTTATTAAATAAACATGCCCATAAAAATCCCTTTCTATTTATATTTCTTTTTCTCTTTTTTCAAAATTGAAAAATCTCTCCAATTAGTATGATTTCAAAGCAAAAACAAATATTCATATGCAATTTCTTTTAGTCTTAGCAATCTATCTATTTTTAGAATAAATTTATTTATTTTGATTATTGTTTTTTAATATAAGTTCTTTTTTCAATTCTAAAATATATTATTTAATTTAAATATTTTCCAACATATACTGAATTAAAATATAAAAGTTTTTAAATGAAATTATGTTGAGAAATTTGTGGGTAAGAAATATGAAATTTAATTTCCACATAATAAGTTTTTTTGTTAACTAATTCTTTAAATATTACTTGTTGACATGACTTGCTGGCATATCAAAAAGATTCTTAATGGACGTGCCGTATGTCATAATTTTAGAAGCTCAACTCCTAAATTTTATATATAAAGATACCATATACCGTTGGATTTCTCTCGTTGAGAATTTTGCCACGGATATGATTTTGATTACAAAAAATTAACTTTTAAATTGACGAATTTTGTTTGTAACACTATTCACAATTGATCTGTTTAAAATATAAATAGATTATAGTTTCCTATTTTTGCCACATTTCAGTTTTTAGTCTTAAAACAAGAGGGTCTAGTCATAACAAATCTTCGATATTTTTAATATTATCTTTTATTAGTTGTCAACTCATAATTAAAAATTTTACTCACTCAATATTTAAAATGGCACACAGTTTACTTAGTTGGCAATCTAATGGTGTAAACATAAGTAATTTCTAGTAGGAGTGACAACTAATTTAAAATTTTAGAGTATTAATGTAAAAGTACTCATCTCTTAGAGTATTTATGTGAATATTTCCAATATTATATGCGCACATATTATATTATGGCCTATTTGGAAATGTATGGTCTTAAACTTGGTTTTTTATTTAATTTTTTGAATCGAAAGCACAAATATTATTATCACAAACCAACCAAAATATAGCAGTAATCAATGTCTTATCACTCACAATTTCTTCACCTTATATTCAATAAAAAGCACTTGCTATAAAACATGGTAAAACAAGATGGTTTCAGCCTCATTGTGGGATTTATTGTTTTAGTAGTTGACCATGTACTTTAAAATTTGTATCTCATTTGTACATCAAAGGTATGCACTAACATTTTGATGGTTCACACTGACACAAAATGTTGATACGATAACAAAAATTTACACTGACCAAAAATGTTGGTGTGTTAAAAAAATTACCATTACACCAACACAAAATGTTGGTACATTCTTGTGGTGTACAAAATGTGGTACAAATCCTTGGGGTGAGCTACAGTTGTTTACTTGACAAATCAATCCATAGATATGCCATAGATAAGAAGGGGTAAAACTATTTGTATACTAAGGATTTGTACCCCAAGTTGTATTCGAAAATCGAGAAACCAAAATTAGGATTTCAAAAATCTATGATTTCAAATTAATTTCTAACTCCAGACATACCTTTTAAAATTCAAAATTCGGTTTGAATTATTTAACAAATCATAAGTCACTTAGCTTAAGTTATACCAAAACTTCTAAGAATCTGTTCTTTAGAACTTAAGATTTTTACTTTTAAGTTTTTCTAGTGTTTTTAGTTTTTTCAGGTTTCTACAAGTTTTTTAGCTCCTTCTAGTTTTTTAATTATTCCCATTTTCTTCAATTTTTTTACTCCCATAATGACTCTAAAAATAATATGTTTTCATGTACTATTATTATTACTCCCAACGTCCCGGAGTATTTGTCTACTTTTGACTTTTTCGGTCAAAATTGGCAAACTTTGACCTTAAATTAAATAAAAATGAAATTAGATATCGATACAATTTCTTTTATTAGATTTATTATATTAAATATTTTCAAAATATTGTTTTATATAATTAATATACAATATATATATTTTATTTGATTATAGGTCAAAAGTTGAAAACGGTTGACTGAAAAAAGTCAAAAGTGGAAAAATATTCTGGGGCAGAGATAATATTATTTTTATAACTATAGTTTATAAATTATTTCTATTTTTCTATTTTTATTTTTCTCATGTCACTATTTTGTGATTTTCATTCATTATTACGGAGTATTATTTCTTCCAATTTTTATATAAATAATACGGAGTATAATTTTATTTGAAAAATTGTTTTTTTTAATTTACATGACACTAAACTATGTTCTAAATATTATGGATATTTTATTAATCTAAATCGACCTGAGAAAACATCAATATTTTAAATTAAAAAATAATGATTATACTACTCTCTGTGTCCCTGATTAAATGACATGGACATTATTTATGTAGTTGAGTTTTATTCACTTCCGTTACCTATTATGAATATAATAATAATAATAATAATAATAATAATAATAATAATAATAATAATAATAATACAGTGTAAAATAAAGTTAAATATATTTTTGAAGTTTTTTTCAAATTCTTTCAGTTTTTCTAATTTTTTTAGTTTCTTTTCCAGCATCCATGTCTTTTTTTCCAACTTTAAAGAACAT